AGGAAAAGGCAAGTGTTTCTGTTTGGAAAGATGACAAACTTCACAATGTGAAAAAGATTCTATAACTATGTTTGGACAAGTCTTCTGTAGCTCTTTAGCTCAAAAATTTGAAGGGTGACCAAGCCTCCAGTGTCATAAATCAAAGGATTGTGGTGTAAAATTCCGCGTTCTGATGGAATTAACATGAGTGGCATGATCTCCTGTAGGAATGGAAAGTTGGTATAGGCCTCTAGTCTCTCGGGCAAAACCAATCCTCTTCATGGATTGAAGGTCCTGGATATGACAAAGGTTGGATTCAAATGTAAGTGACACTGGTATAGACTTGGTTAACTTGCTAACTGAAATAAGGTTGAAAGAAAATGTAGGTACAAATAGCACCTCGTGAATGACTAATCCAGAATCAAACTTAACAGTACCAGAGTGGGTTGCTGGTGTTTTAGATCCATTTGGTAGGGTTATGGAAGTGTTCTAGATAGGGACATGTTTAACAAAATTGGACAATGAACAAGTCACATGATCTGTTGCTCCAGTATCTAAAAACCAAACATTGGCAAACTTCATTGGGTGCTTTAGAAAGTATGTTGATAGTGTGTATTTACCTGAGGAATTAGGATTAACAGACAAGTGCCTGCTAACTGAGTTCACCATGGGAGTTTGTTGCTGGTTGATGATGTTAGGTGCTGCTCCTGGAGATACAGGTGATGTGGGAGATGTTGGAGGACTGAACTGGTGAAGAAGTTTCTGCAAACGACTGAGGTCATCATGATAAAGCCTGATATTGGTGTAGTTGTCACCACTCTCTCATGCTACCCTCGTTTTAGGTCTAGATAAAATCCCAGATCCAGAACTGTCAGCCCCTTGAACTTGCCCAGCAAACCCAGAATTTTCTCCTTGTTCCTTGTTCTTTCTCTTTAACTTGTAACAATCAGCAATAACATTATTGTCTTTCTTGCAATATCTTCAGAAAAGACCTCCTTTGGCATTGGCATTCTCCATCCCTCTAGACTGGTTTGCTGCAAGTAAAGCAACTGAGTCTACCTGTGCCTCAGGACTAGGTTTAGCAACCTGCCTCTCATGCCGTATAGCATAGTGGAAAGCAGTCTCCATTGAAGGAAGAGGTTGCATCATAAGCATATTTTTCTTAACTCCACTGTAGGAATCATTAAGACCAGTAATAAAACGAGTAACAAACTCATTTTCCCTATACTTCTTCACTATGGTTTCAGTAATGCAAGGTATGATAGGGTTTATATTCTCCCCTCCACAAGCACATTCAGGAATAGGTAAAAACTGGACTAGCTCTTCCCAAAAACCTTTCAGATCTGAATAGAACTGGTTCACAGATCTATTACCTTGTTTGACAGTGTAGAGGGCTGTTTGTAGATCTGTAATCCTGATGTTGTCTGCTTGTCCAAAACGCTGCCTAAGGTCTTCCCAAAGCAGCCTTGCATTTTCCTGAGAGGACACACTATGAACCAAACTTGGATCCAGAGATCCCAAAATCATGAAATACACAGCTGTATTACTTTGCTCCCAAGTTGCATAGCCTTCATCAGTGGGTGCTGGAACTGGAATGGCTCTAGTAATAAACCCAAGTTTGTTCTTGCTCTTGAGAGCCACTCGCACAGTCCTGCTCTAAAGATTGTAGTTTGTTGTGCCAGAAAGTTTGATAGGAAAGACCAATGATTCATTAGGGTTTATGTAGAATGGGTTTGTAACTGTGCCCGTGGAAGGGACAGAAGACGAGCTAGAGCTCACAGAAAGAAGAAGAAGAAGAAGAAGAAGAAGAAGAATTGTGGGTAGTAGACATTGTTAGTGTACGCTACTGAGAATCAAGAATGCGGGGTTGGAATGGGTGATGACACCCTAGATGAGCCGACTAGGCTCTGATACCATGTGAAATTAGGTATTAGAGCATAAATTGGTGGAAACTCGCAAGGGATTTTGGTGCCTCAAAGGGCGTATATATATACAAAGTCTTAAACATCTGTACAAGCTTAAGCTCTATTTCTAACGGTAATAAACTGCAAATCAAACTATCTACGAATAAGAACAAGACAGTTGTACAACTACAGTAAAATCAGAAGGGGTGAAACGCTTAAGTGAGACGACAACGTCTTGGCTCAGCTCCTCAATTGCTTCTGAGGAAAACGACTCTGTTTCACAAGCTCATTAAGCTTCCACCATGGTTCGAATCAATCCAGCTCTTCTCTTCTTCTTCTTCAGTTCTGTATTCAAACTGTAATACCACAAGCGAATTTCGGGCTCGGCGTCAATGTCACCGCGGTTCCCCGACAGAGGATGATCCGTTATTCGGACCCTGTCAGCAGAAACTTTCAGAATCAGAGGTGAGGGAATCATGGCTATGGATACAGCAACCCATCACTATTTCAATCACAAAAATTTCAGCAACAACATTCACAGTTTATGAGGTCAAATCAATACCCAGTTCAGAGCTTAAACTCTGCTTCATCAACAGCAAGATGGTATTCCAGTAATGTTCCTTTCCCAAACCATAATCACCATCACCTCCACCACCGTCCATCGTCGTACAAAGAAACCCCATTTATGTTCAGCGGCCCAAACCCAATGGAAGCTTCGACAGGAATTAGAATGGGTGGTAGCAGCAGTAGATCATCAGAGTATCAGAGTTTTCCATCTTCCAGTAATTTGCCACACTAGCAGCTCCATCTTCGCTTGGGCTGTTTGATAGCTGGGGATCACCAACTTCACAGGTTGATTGGAACAGTGGAGGTTTGATGTCTAATTTCGATTACACGAGCATAGATTGGAGTCTGGATTCGAACTTGCTGCCTTCCAAGTCAAGGAGAATGTGGTTGGGGCTCTCCTCGTTGTTGATTAGCAATGGCTCTTCCGCCGCCGGGAATGGAGGTATGGAAGCACCATCTTCTGCGGCAGGATTGCGTGAATGGGGACCTCTCCTTTTGCACAGAAGGATATGTTCAGTTTGTCTACACAATTTGTTACCTCTCCTTCTCTTTAAGAGCATGGGAGACAGAGAGAGGCATGGTTGCAACCCGTATATAAGTTGACGTTGCGTGCATATATGTACATCTTCATGTCTTAAATCAAAATGCATCCTTTCTTTTTAATTGGATCTATTGAATGGAAATCAAACAACAGTATTGAATCTAATCATCCAACCAGATTGAATTGTAATCCATCATGTTCGATTCAACAGATGAACAGAATCGTTGCACCCTACAGTTGATCATAAATTGAAAAATAAAAACTCACCAACATCAACACCTTAACCTGGTTCATGATTGAAGACAACCGATTCAGTCAAATGTCAATAATCTATAACTATACTTTCTTTACAATCAAAGAATCGAAAAGGGGTTAATTATCATATAGCTGATAGTAGAATGTGGTTACTGTTTTTGATTCGTGCTCAAAACTACTTAAATAGCTTGACTCCCCAGTTCAAGTCCTTACAATGTCTCAAGTAAGGAACAAGAGCACCAGCATCAACCTTCTCATCTATGTCACATTCACAGTCACAGGTTGGAGGGAAATGGAAACAAGGCTCCATTGACAGGTCCTTTACACAGGCCGGGTTAGGTACATTCTGGTATTTCGCTTTGTGCAGAATCCATGGCTTCAAACCTCCAAGCCCCTGAGCTACATATCCAAACGTCGATCAAGAACTTGTCACCAGAACATCGCAGGTACTGAGTAGACTAATCTCAGCCCACGCCTTCATGTTGTGCATATTGTCACCAAACTTCTGATACTCCTCGTGGCTCGGCTGATAAACCCCAATCACGTCACCTTCCACAGTAGTCAGTAGGCTTGGTCCAGTAAATGTTCTTGATGTGCTCATAGTACTCGGAGTATAAAAAAACTGCAAGAATAGCCTTGAAAGATGTCCCATTCAGGATTTGAGAAGTAGCTACAGGTTGGACATCATCAAGTTTAGGAAAGATGTTGTTCTCTTTTGAACTGCATTCCAGTATCTGATCCATTACAGTCTGAAATGGTACAGTTTTGGGATTGAACACTCTGATCTGCAAACCAATTCTCTGGTCTGCCTTCTCCAGGTACGCCCGGTAGAACCTCTTGATTAGCCCCCACGCTTGATTGGAAGGATGGAACAAGTATCGACCCAAGTGATGAAACACGGTGTCCTTTTCAGGAAACATTTTTGTAACCTCTTTCTCATCACGAAGAAACCTGGCACGTAGTATTGATCTGATAACATAATCAACCATGGTATTCTCTCGATAGAAGCTTGGCCTCTATCGCAGTAGAACATGATATCTCCATCATAACGACCATGATTCACATTCACAAACAGATACAAAGAAGCTTGAGCCCTCGTCGACTCGTTTCTTGTTGCGGAAGAATTACCCTTCTTCATCAAGCTTCCAATGCTGTGTGAATGCCTGTCCTTATCATCCCAAAATTCCTTCTGCAGCGGGAACTTGTCCACAGGCAGGACCCACGGGCCACAACGAGTTTCTGAATGGCTCGCAGAACAGATCTTCCATATCGGGTCGTTGATGGAGAAGCAGGACTCTGTCCGTGAGAAGAGCAAACAGATATGTGGAAGCTATGCTTATCATTCTGTTCCCTAACCCATTTGCAGGTAATCAGATGACATACTTGCAGTGTCCTTCAGAAGAAGAATGATCACGGGCAACTCTGTCCAACTTTTTAAGCTTCGTTATTGCTCTTTCGTACGGCTTAGTTCCAGGTCCACACTGCGTGTGAAGATCTTCGTACTTCCTTAGCTTGGAAATGAGATACGGAGATGGCTTATGAGGTGAATGCTTGCGGTAGGATTGGTGCCTGCTTTAGCAAGACGGTTCGTCAGCTCCAGGAGACATTAATAGTCCATCCAGAAAAGCTTCTTTGTTTCGATTCGACGAATCTTGTTGTGACCCGAATCCCGGAGATGGGGTTGGAGCAACTGAAGGTGGTGAAGCCAAATGTTCCTTTCGTTCTGTGAATCAGGAAAAAAAACAGGGGTGTTTTTAGAAACGAAACATTTCGGCAATTCCTCCAGCATGGCCATTGGAAGAGATACGACCCCTTCCAGGTGGTTCCGAGACTCTTCCTCTGGTCACAATTGGGGATGAATTCCTTCGCGGCACATTGGCATTGCTTGCTGCACTATCTTGGGTTCCTCTTCCGCCGATGGCAGCACCTGGTCTGGACCTTCCAGCAGAAAGCGGTCTCTCAGGCAGAGTGGTTCGAAGATTCGGCGGTGTGTCTAGTGGAAAATCAGGAGGAACAACAGGCTGCTGAGCAGGGGCTCGAACTCGTGGACCCGGGGAGCTAGGGCGGGATGATGGTGCTGATGTGCGCCCACTTGACATAGGACGTCCACCTGAAGTTGACACAGGGGATATTGAAGACACAGGAGCCCGACGCGTTGGTGTTGATGGACGAGAACTTGAGCGAGCAGCTGGAGCATTGTTCAAATTTGCAGGGATCTGTGGCCTGGAAGAAGTCGGGGTCGACGGTCGTGAGGGTTGGGATGGTCGAGATCGCTCCGGCAAAGAGACACTGGGCGATGTACGAACTCTGGACGGAGTTGATGGCCTCGATGTAGACGAGCGGCCTGAAGGCGTCGAAGGCCTTCCTATGGATGGTGAACGAGTGAGAGGGGAGGATGGTCTTATGTAAGAAGAGACTGAAGTTGAGCTTGTGTTTAGGATTGAAGATGGAGATCTATTGGATGAATATGAAGTGAACTGCGAGGCCGTAGTAGAGGAACGAGTCACTGAACTACTTCTAGCAGGTCTAGTGGAATGATAGCTCTCCGATTGTGAAACTGAAAGCTGAAGCAAAACAGAAAACAGATCAGTATTTCTGTTTCCATGTTCAGAAAGTGATAGGTCGCTAGCTAGTACCATACCCTTGAAGCCTTTGTTGTAGAAGTTGATCTAGAGAGACCAGCAGCACTGTTCCTAGGAGCTACCACTGGAGGTGGGGGTTGTGACGACTCATTTGCATCCGCCGACGGGAAAAGGGGAGTTCCTGGAGGAGTGAGTAGCCTAAAACAAGGGGGAAAAGGGAATAAATTAGTGCAAGTAGCTCCTACTTATAGGCACTATTGAGTAATAAGACAAAGTTGCAATTTGCATCAAATGCTCATCGCAGGATTTCCAGAAGCATTAACCACTCGGCCAATCATTATTTAAGCACTGTAGCCATTGTTATCTCTTCTTCTACGACCTTTTACCAGTAACCCAAACTCCATTTCTAGTTCTACTCGTATTCATTTCCTTCAATCGCCAGAAAAGCATGATTCAATCAGGAGATAGACAACCAGGGAGGAACATTTTGCTTACCAGTCGTAATCATTCTTGCCTCCTTCGATGGATGCGAGTAGATCATCGATCCCGGGTTTGGGGGCGACTTTGGCAGATCCAAGTGAAAGCCTCCCAAGTTTGACTGAAGTAGCTGCAAATTGAGGCCCCATACCAGATCGTCAAGAAAACCAACACCAGATTCGCAAACAAAACAGATTCAATTCAGGCGGGATGGAGGGATTAATTAAGCAGAAGTGGCGGGAGCGGATTATAATCGGTACTAAAATGTCCGGTAGCGAACAATCGTTTTCTCTTGGATTCCGGAAGGATAATGAAAATCTGTCCACACCGGATGCGGACAAAGAAGAAGATTGGAAGATAATGGAAAACAGAGTGCAACTCCAGATTAGATCTTGGATCAATTAGCTCAAAAGGAGACCGTGCAGAGAATGAGTAAGTGAAGAGTACCGTCGGAGGGGTCATCGGAAGGGGTGAGGGAGAAGGAGCGGCGGTTCCTGGAGAAGAGATCCAAGTTCTCATCGGAGTCCTTGGTTAGCGAATTCAAACTGTGGCCGCGACGGTGGAGGTGATGAGATGCGGCCAGGAGAGTTCTGCCTCCTCCGCCACCGCCACCGCCGACCAGAGATTCTCGGAAATTGCTTCTACTCATTTGATTGACGGAATGCGGAGGCGGCGAGAGCGCAAGCTGGCAAAAGCCGCCGCTCTGTAACTTGAAAAAGGAGGAGGAGAAGATTCGGGCAGAGTTCAGTGAAGATGAAAGGGAGCTGGTGTAGTTGTTGTGAGATGTCTAAATCCAGTTCATGTGCACAGAGCAGGCCTATGTTTCTGGTAATAATTCATGGCATTCGGAAATCGAAAATGGTGAAAGCGAGGGGAGAGGGAAGGGAATGCAGAAACAGGGGAGATGGATGGATGGATGGATGGAAAAGGTAGAATTGGGGAAGAAGGAGATGGAGGCGGTGGTGAGAGAGCCGTGAAAAGGGACCCACCGGCAGCTTCACTTGAGTGACGGTCCATTTGTTTAATATATACTTCTACTCTGCTATTATTTTTCGTCCTTTTTTGGGGTTTTGTGTAGGGCATTGTTTTTATTTTTGAACCGTAAAGACAACGAATCCATCACGGTAAAAAGCAGGTTTGCGTGAGTTTAAGTTAATTGACTTATTCTTGTTTCACTAAAAGGGAAACAAATCTAGAATATTGTAAGAATCATTTCAAAAAAAATGTATTTTAAGAATAATTTAATCCGGCCGGGACTTACTTGACTTGAATGTAATTGTTGGCGAGGGATCAGCATTCGGTTTGGTTTCACATTTTCGAACCAAATTCGAATCAGTCAAACTCGAATTTGATAATATTCGTATGAATTCGGATGACAAAAACTCCTACTTCAAGGTACAAGGTTGTCTCAACCAATCCTGAATTTCGAAACCTGACTCGAGAAATCAAACTTTGCATAAGTTCAAAACACTCCTACCTCACAGCCTAGCAGAGCCCAGCTAAACCGCAAGCCCAATTAAGCCCACTCTTACCTCAGAGCTCATTCAAAGTTCGAACCCTCTTCATAAATGAAAAAAAGTTCGAACCCTCCTTGTCTCCCTATTGCTCTACTGTGCACTAGTTGGGTGAGCGACTCATATAACCCTAACAAACTAAACTCTATATCTCTCAAGCAATCAGTACTCGCCTCCCTCGCCACAACAGGCGGCAACTACCACCAGTTCGTCACCCACTAATCGCAGGACCACACCTTCGACGTCCGACTCTGCCCCCATCGCCACTCACCGACTTGCCTCCAAACCCTAGTCCAGCCCTAAAAACTCACGCAACTCGCTCTATAAGAGATGATCTTGTTTCATCTTGATTCAAGTCCAATTGTACACATTTTTTCCCTCATATCTTGATCGTTTGGCTTTGCATTTCATCGTACCTCGACATATTTCACGCTAGGTTGTGTTTGTTTTGATACATTTCAGGTCCTAGCACGCGTGGAAGGATCGAGGACGAGTTTTGGGACGATTGGAGGTCGAAAAGCGCAAAAAAGACCGAAGAAAAGTCCAAAGACCGTGACAATTACCCCGTAACAGTGAAGCGCAGACGTCTAAGAACAGTTGTGGTTCACGGCCGGGCATTGGAGTTCATGACCTCTAAGGCCGTGAACTGGAACCACAAACCGTGAACCACGAGGCGTCCAGGGAGAAATCTGTCGTTATTGGCGCAAGGCGAGTTCACTTAAGAAGAAGAAGATGAAGATCTAGAGGTTTCTTTGTAATCTCTCCTCTCTCTCTCTAGAAACTCACCATTTTCTCTTGGGTTTAAGAACCCTAGGTCTAGATTTGGGTTTAATGTAGATGTATGTGACAAACTCCATGATTGATTGATGATTTTACTTAATTGATGGATGTTTTCATGAATAGCATGATTTGGGTTTCCATTTTCATGTATTGAGCTTTTGACCTAGGAGGGAGATAATCCCCTTAGAGCCCCCTTTTGGCGTCTTCGGGTCACTCCTATCGTATAGAGTCCGGGTAGTCCCCGAGGGAGGTTGATTCGACCGGTCTCCTAGCATTATATGAAACCCTAGGTTGAATAGAGCACTACCCGTCCATCGATCCGCCGTTCCGGGTCTTTCCTTCGAGGGAATCCATCTCCAAACGGTAGTGTATTTGAGTCGATCGAGCTAGGAGGATACCCAACATCAATCCAAAGAACGGGCCTAGAACGAGTCAACCCAAGAGAGCTCCCAGCCTTGTAAATGTCTAGGTTAGTGGTTAGTCTAGGTTAGTTAGTTCAGTTTTATTAATCACTATCCTAGGTTGGCTAGATAATGAACCCTAAACCTGAATTAGGGTAAGTCTAGATCCCCGTGGTACGATAAATTATTATTGTTTGCTTGCCTTATACTTCACCCGGCCGACGGTTATACTTGGTCGTCGATTGAGATGTTGTAATTAGAACGAGTCACATCTATTTCTAATGTCGCAAGTAGTTGCACTGATGACAGTGAATCTATTAGTGTTTTGTTGATAGTTTTGATGTTTTCATTCATGATTGATGTCTGCATAGATAATACTAACTTTTAAGGAGTAATGATTTTATTAAGTTTGTATTTATCTCTATATGTAATCATCACTAACCATTGCTCTTTTATGTATACTAGGTGGCGATGCCGCGACTTGTTGCGGATGGAGATGGCAAGCCGCGGGTGCAGATGGCCTATAGGAATTTATTATGTGACCCGTTATGATGTTTTGTTAGTATTATTAGTCTAAAATTAATTTTTTGTTAGCAGTTTTGTTAGTAATATTGACTTGACAATGTGATATTGACTAAGGATAGATATATGTAGGTCAACATCCAATTTAAAAATTTTCGCTAACAAATGATATTTACCTAAACCCAAGTAGACTCATTGAATATGGGTAGGGTAATGACTAATGAGTGACGTATATATGAGTTTGAAAGTTTGTATATGGGTTTGGGTAGGGTATGAATATTTACTTTCATAATCTAAATGTGTATGAGTTGGTATGGATATTCATTTATTCGAGGGTGTTTTAATTACACATACAAAAACTAGACCTATTTGTAGAACTTCACAAGTTCAGGTACTAAGATGTAATACACAAAATTTTAGATACTACAATGTAATGTTCCATAAGTATTTTGAGGACTTATATGCCAAAAAATTAATTTTAGGTTATAAATCTAAGGATCTATTAAGTTTAGGTACCCAACTGTAATTTGCATAGTTGAGGCTTAATCCCTTTTATGGTGATGTATTTAAGATGATAATTATTTACTTTTTTATAAAAAAATAGAAAACTATTTATATTATATGTATAATTATTGAACTTCCATGTATAATTTTTGAAAATTCTACCCGGGTGAAAAAGAAAACCTCTAGAGAGAAGCAATAGGAATACAAACTAGAACTCGCTTAAAATTTCACGCCTTCAAATCTCATACTGGAAAATTATGAATTTCTAATAAGTAATAACCATTTATATTTGTTTTTAATTGGACTCGACATTGAGCTAAAAAGTTAGTGGTTCATGGTTCAATTATTAATTGTCTAGACTGTTGGTCAGTCGTGTATGAACCCGTTACATACTTGCGATTGGAATACATAAAAATAGTATACTAATTAGGGTTAGATGAAGAAGGCAAAGAAAGAAATAAAGAAAGGATTGTGGAAGGCGAGTGAAAAATGAAACGAAGAGGAACTAGATGATGAAAAGGTTTTGACTAATTCTTATAGTTGGTCATCAATACAACAGTCAATCATTTTCACCGTAGCAATTTATTGGCACTTTCTTATTTCTTATGTAGATGTCGCATATTTTCTTACATGTAGTTAGTAGAAGTTTGTTTAGTATCCTGTAAATGTACTAAATGAGTTTATAAATTCGCTCTTGCAATATTTTAAAATTGTCTCCTTTTTATCATTTGTTTAATGTTTCACGTAATTAGCAAATATAAAATGGTCGAATCTTCTACTACAGTTGAGTGATACAACATCTTGTATGATACAAACTAAATTTATACTTTAATGTTATGGTGGATTGGATTCATGGATTTGTTCAAAAGGATTGGTTGATTGAATTCATGGATTCAAGTGAAACCTAAACATTGGATCAATATATAAAAGTACAAGATTGTAGGTACGAAATTCTCATGCAATTTAGATACCAAAACATAATTGTTCAATGATTTTACATTAAAACTAAAATTTGGGTATCAAAATATAAAATGTAGATTATAGTGACTAAGTTATAATTTAATTAAATTTGGGGTATCAAAATGTAAATAGCTTAGGCAACAGTAACCCAACTTAAGCTTTATATATATTAACAAAAGGATTGGTGGATTGAATTCATGGATTCAAGTGAAACCTAAACATTGGATCAATATATAAAAGTACAAGATTTTAGGTACGAAATTCTCATGCAATTTAGATACCAAAACATAATTGTTCAATGATTTTACATTAAAACTAAAATTTGGTATCAAAATATAAAATGTACATTATAGTGACTAAGTTATAATTTAATTAAATTTGGGGTATCAAAATATAAATAGGTTACACACTAGGAACCCAAGTTAAGCTTTATATATATTAATAACTATTATTCTTAGTATTAGCAAATATCAAAGATGTCTATTTTCCAATATTGAAGAGCCGAGAACCAAGAAGCAATTAAGAAACAAGAGATGATAAATGGACTTTCGGATAATTTATGCTTTGAAGTATCATATAGTTTATGATTCCAAATGGTGGATTTTGATATTTGTCTTGAATATTAGAATGATGGACAATTTATGTTTGAATCAGGGGCGGAGCTAGGAATCAAGCTTCGGGGGCCGAAATTATTTTACACGTGTTATCAAAAAAGACAAACAAACTAAAAAATAATTATCAAAGTAAAGAAAACTAATACTTTTAATCATCATTATTGTCCAACCCACTTTTTTAAGACAATAAGATTTACTTAAAACATGATTTAAGATAAAAATACTATGTCATTTTGACTATAAACGAGTTTATTACCAAAAAAATTAATAATGCATTCCAATGCTAACTAGTTTCATTATTTTTAAAGCTGAAAAATCAATATGCACTATCTCCTAAAATATTTACTCATAATATATTTAAAAGAGTCCTTAAGAAATGTAAATACAAAGCCAAAAAGTACTCATTATAATTTCAAGGTTAAATACACTTGTATATCCAAAACTTTCACGGTTGTGCCAATAATATCCAAATTTTCCAAAATACCACTTATATCCAATTCCTTCACATTCTTTAAAGGTGTTTTTGGATATACAAGTGTATTTAACCAAAAATATATTTGGAAATAGATAGATTTGGCAAATAACAACTTCAAAACATGGATATAAGTGGTATTTCAGGAAATTTGGATATTATTGGCACAACCGTGAATGTTTTGGATATACAAGTGTATTAAACCTAATTTCAAAAAAGTCCTAAAAAATTTGAAATGCTTAGTTTAAGAATCTAATTAATTTAAGAAACTAAAATATGGAAACTAGATGATTATATTGAAGTCTCATGCAAAGTACAACTAAAACAAGAAAAGAACAAAAGTTACTATATGGGGGATCGAACCCACACCATTTCTAATCACCTGTTAATGTCATTCCGTTAGACTAAACCACTCATTGTA